GGCCCCCGAGACCCGGGCCCCGGGGCTGCTTTCGATGCCTCGTCCACGTGCTTCTTCTTCTTATCGCGGAGTCACCCTCGCGACTGGAGGGGGCTGTGGGTGGGTCCGCGATTCCGCTCGATCAACTTGATGCTTGATCCTCGTTGACGCGGGGAGTTACTTTCTTCCGACTCGAGACGAGATACCGACCAGCTTCGATCCTCCGTGGATCGGAATTTCATTCTTCGGATCTCCTCGATGATGGATCGAGTCTCGATAAGGTTCGATGTCTTCTTCTTTCGGATCGATGATCGCGAATTTTAGCCGTTCCCGTAAAGGGACACGAGTTTCGTCGGCGGTAAGAATATATGCGTGGTGCGACAGAGTCGCCACCCCTGCGCAGAATCGCCAGGGTGCACCGTTGGCCAATGATGTCGCGCGAACCTCTCGAGCGACTCCCTGCTGGAACCTCCCACGTTTCACCCCCGAGAAACGAAGCGTTCGCCGTCGTCGTTTATCGCGGATTCGTTCTCTGGGGGTGACGATATTATCCTAGTCGCCCTTATTATAGTCGCTAATTGAGAGAACACTCGGGACAACGAATAAACGAATTCGAGAGAACGGTGAGCCGTCTACGACGCGTACTAGATCATCCCTCTAATCCTAATCCTTCCTTATTAGCCTTATTCGAACATCGTCTTCTATTCGATACGCATTAAACAAGGAAAACGAACCAATTCATTGACAGAAGAGCGACAAAGTCCTCCGTCTATGCAAATGACCAATGAAAAAAAATTTCTCTGCAAACCGTTATATCCGAAAAAATCTCGATTCCATCGCAAATCGTTAGTTTGTTATCGAATTTAAAGAGCCCTTTCCTGGTTTTCCATAGTTACAATAGGGAAACAAAAGAACGGCAGGGCGCAGACTCGCCCTGCGAAGGGAAACTGCGGGCAGGGGTAGCTCTTGTCCAATAATGTCGAGAGTTTCGCCACCCTCCGTCCGACCAAGACCTCCCCCTTTTTTCGCCACGAGTCCCGTATGAACGAGGCCGAGTCTTTCGAAGGTTCGATCGTAAACATAATGGAGTAACAATGTGTCGAATTAACTGGTTCTAGATGAGACAAAAGCGAGAACGAGCGATTAAACCGATCCACGTTTCCCATCGGAATCGAACGACCAATAAGCTGCTGGCTTCTCTTTCGACGAAACACCGGCCATTCATGATCCCTTCCAATTTTTAGATCGACGTTTCCGAGCTATTTACATCGCGCGGGTAATTTATGGCGCGTATTAAGCGTGATTAAAGTTGAAAAGAGCGATGAACGGAGAAAATAGGAGCGATTCAAGTACTCACCCAACCGTGCGGGCGTTCCTCCTCCTTTTCGATTCGTCGGTGATTCGGCAGTCTCGTTCCTCGCGATCATTTCTCTCGTCCGCTTTGCTCGGGATCGTATCGAGGCGTCTCGATGCTGTTGCCGTCCAAGATGAACATGAAACAAAGAAATTTCGTAAGTTACATAAAAACGTACAGGTTACGTTACAGAAATATGGACAGAAAATTTTTGGCATAAAAAGAAACGAACAATGTCTGAACTTTCAAGGCTAATCGTTCATAAAAATGATGAAATTTTTTGTTATAGCAGTCTATGCTTGATAAAGCAAAATCATCGTGGATCGTTAATGATGGTAACGGTAGTGCAGATTTCGAGAGATCCGATCATCGAAGCAGGAAATTAATTTCATTTTATCTAGCCCGTTGCGTCACCTGCGCTACGAGGGGATCCCGGTTAATTCCTCTCGCTTTTCACCCCGTCGAAAATCAGGTAGTCGATGCATTCGTGGAAAGTAGAATGTGGGAAAATGGAGACGCGGTCCGTTAGGTTCGAGAAAGGGTTGCTGCGTAACCCTCTCGAAATAGGTCAGGATACCGGTCCCACATCGTTTCCTTAAAGACCTGTTTAGCCTCGATAAAATATCGTATTTCCTTCGAACTGCCATTTCCCTTGCAACTAATTCGTTTACCGTTTTAAATACGATCCGTGTCTAACAAAAATTCGACGAAATTCCCTCAACAAGACTCTAAACAAGAGATTCGTGCGAGGACAACAGTAAAAGTTAATGATTAGAACGTTAAAAAGATTATGGGTTTGACTTTTAATGGGTTTAGAAAAAGGGATTCCAAAACGGTTCATGGTTTTTTCAGCAGAAAGCGTCTCGTTAGCTTTCCCGAGAGGGTTTCGAATATCAGGAAAGAAGGGGTTCGTACCGTTCCGGTGTCCATGTGAGAAAACCATTAGCCAAAAAAGGAACCTTTAAATAACGGGCTACCGGGCTCAGCCGTCGTTGCCGGAGGGGTGGATCGAGAGAAGAAAAAAATCGGTAAGGTACTTTCGATTCCAGGTAGCCAGGATCCGGTGGAAATATCTTTCCACGTTACAGGATAGAAAGAAGGGGAGAGACATTAGCGGACACACCTGGAAACGTCTCGAGAAATCGATGAATCATCGGTCATCGAGAATCGACCTTAAGATTCCGCGGAAACGACGCGATTTCACGAAGAATCTTCAAGTTTACCAGAAAGACGTGAAACTGTCGGGCAAAGGAAAGTTGAACGTTCCTCGAGCGTTTCAAAGTTTAAAAATATCGCGCGGCTCGGCCCTTCAACGGTGAAAATATGAATTTTTTATCTCTCCCTCGCGGACCATATGGCCGGTGCTCATCTCTCGAGGGGTAGAAAGACAAAAAAGCGGGCCGAAGAGAAAGAGCGACCGAAAAAAACGGAGAAACCGCGCAGAGCTACGGTATTTTTAGAATAGAATTTCCAAGGTGGTTTCCGTGGTTCCGTACGACAGCCAGGAAAGAGGAAAGGGTTGAAGCATCTTTTTCTTCTATTTTTTTTCTCTTCTAACGGGCCCGCCACCCTGTCGTTTCCGCGTCTAAATTCTTCTCACCCTTTCCCCCAGCCTGGACCCTCTATTTTCCTTTCAGACTCGAGGATCCTTCAGCTGTCACTGCGTGCACCGTTTCTAATTCCCTTTTCTCGATTACGACTAAAATCGCAGCCCTTCGGAATATTTCTACCAAAGATTAGCAATTTTAGCGCCTTGGTACGCGTCTCGGAAGAAGAAGTCTCTTTCGGTCCGATAGAAACGACTACTCCATTGACCCTGAAGAAGTCAGCGAACAAATGTACGAAGGATCGAGTGCGTCTGAAATCGAGTTGGCCGCTCGTGTCTTCGTCGTCGTCGTATCTACGAGCGTTGTACTTGAAGGCAATGCATCGAGCAGCGCGTACATACTCGTCCGACAAGGAATGTGGTCCGGTTGCTGGGCGTGCGCACGCGGTCCGCCGCTATACTTCCCGTTTTTTATTGCCCCGTAATGCATTAGCCATAATAGCCGCACGCACTTAATGGACTGTAGCCTCGTTACAGTATGCCACGTCGTGGGTGGATACGCTGTTTGACCACTTCTCGCGAGTTCCTTTTCTGCTCCGCGATACTCGTCTCCGCTCGCGAGCATTTTCAACGAATCGACCTGTTATCTCCGTTCTTCCGCGATTTTCGCGTCCACGGAAACTTGTACCTTTATCTTCCCGCTCGCTACATCGAATTACCATGCACGATTCCGAGCGTGCGTTCAGGAATGCGTTGCTGGTAGGTTCCTCTCTCGAGCAGCGAGTCTCGCTGAAATATGTACGCTCCAAGAAGGAGGAGATTTAGCCAACTGGATGCGCTGATACGGCGGACAGAACAAATTGAGAAAATGGAATAGATGGAGCTGATAGAGGACGCGCGACAGATACCGAGGAAGATGAACCGTTTGCTCGGGT